TTAGGTTGGTGTCTGCAAGTAGGCATGACAAGCACTACCAAAACCCCACTTTACTGGTAGCTAACCGGAAGGCACGTAGTACCTCCTTCGCGCTTCGGCCTTTCATCCTAGACACTCAGGTCAACTTAATCAATACCAACTACACCCCTTATCCAAACTTACCAATATATTTACCCCAAAAACAAATCAATAAGATCTTGTTTCACAAACATTTCCTTTCTCCATGCAAAAGTTTTCAAATCTTAATTCAAAATTTGTAATCAATCAAATGAATTGAAATGTCAATGCAACATTTGTCAATGCATTATAATATTTTTCCAATTTTCAATTTTTTCCACACAACCTCCCATTGTGATCATAATTTCCATATCTCTTTCCAATGAAGTTTCACAAAAATAAACATATACAAATTTATATCTATCAAGAAGTAATAACATTTCGACATTTCATACATTCTCACCAACTTAGTCATTTCATGAATATATCCACCTTTTTTAACAATAAACTTCAAAACCAACTATTCCTCATATTCCATGAGATTTCTCATTCAAACATTTGTCATAATATTTGCCAAGTATCAATTTCATAACATCACAACATTTTTCTCAAAAATTGCCAAATTTCTATGGTTTCCATAAACTAGGTTTTCTCCTCATTTTGAAAGAGTTTTTCCAAGGTAGCACTCCTCTACAACAATATAGCTCAAAATCTCAAGGATTTTTAGAAAACATTATGAAAACCCACTTTTAAAATCACCTACAACTCTTGAGTCAGAAACCCAGCTCAATACAACAAGAATGAGTTCCAACATTAACATAACTTGCAAAAATGTATATATAACTCAAAGAAAAATCTCTACCTCAAGTTTTAGAAGGAAAGAGAGAAGAATGCCCTAAAATCAACGGTGTCGAAACTTGATCTCCACCGCGCATAATGTAGCCCTTGAAGAGTTTTCCAACTTTGATGAAGGAGCTATGGTCAAAACTCTAATGGATTTGAAGAAATCAAAGGTTTGATCTAATTTGGTGTAGGTAAATGTAGAGAGAAGGAAAAGAAATGGGTTTTTAGAGAGAGAGAGATATACAAAAAGTGAGATACACTCATCTCAAAGTGAAGAAAAGACAAAAAAAAATTTGGACTCAGCGTTCCTGCACGTGCGTACCTTTTCCCACACGTGCGGCATACCCTTCACCGCACATACGGCCTCTTTCCCCGCACATACGGCCCACTCCCGCACTTGCAATTTCACGTGCAATTATTTTAATATAGCACCTCGGCATCCCCTGTTCACCGCACGTGTGGCTGAAGCCCCCGCACGTGCGGTTCAACCTCATTGCCAGAAATTCACCTGCTGGGCCGAGACCCCCCGGATCCAACCTCACACCTTCTGAAACAAGCGAAAATCAACACCAAAACAAAAAGACGAGGACCTGAAGAAGGTTTCAAGAACGGTAAACCCAAACGGTCGACAAGGCCTCAAGTTAATCCTCGACACTCTAACACGAGTAAGCTTAACACAAACAATGTTGAAGGCAATCACATAGATGATCATGATGATCACATGGATGATCAAATAGCTAATCAAGTAGATGATCAAGCTAAGGAAGTAAATGAGCCAAGAATGAGTAAAAGGGCTAGGACTTCAAGGTCCTTTGGTCCAGACTTCTAGACTTATATGTTAGAGGGAGAACCTCAAACTTTCCATGAAACTGTGACTTCACCTGAAAGTCCTTTGTGGAAAGAAGAAATTAAGAGTGAGATTAACTCCATTTACAGAACCATACTTAGGAATTGGTTTATTTACCCCAAGCAGTAAGGCCTTGGGAAGTAAGTGGATCTTTAGAAGAAAGATGAAGGCTGATGGGTCAATTGATAAGTATAAAGCTAGGCTAGTTATCAAAGGATACTAACAAGGAGAAAGTCTGGATTACTTTGATACTTATTTACCTATGATGAGGATTACATCCATTCACATGGTGATTGCAATAGCAGCTTTAAGTGGTCTGGAGATACATCTAATGGATATAAAGACAGCTTTCTTAAATGGAGATTTGAACGAAGAAATCTATATGGAGCAACCCGAAGGGTTTTTTGTTCCAAGGCAAAGTAAGAAAGTCTGTAAGCTTGTCAAATTATTGTATGGTTTAAAGCAAGCTCCTAAACAATGGCATGAGAAGTTTGACAATGCTATGTTGTCAAATGGGTTCAGAATCAATGAGTGTGACAAATGCGTATATGTCAAAGACACTAACAGAGGTTATGTCATTTTGTGTCTATACGTTAATGACATATTCCTTGTTGGTAATAATGATGAGATGATTAGAACTACCAAGAGATTGTTAAACTCTAAGTTTGATATAAAAGATATGGGCCTTGTAGATGTAATTCTAGGCGTTAAGATTACCAGAACATCTGATGGTATTGCACTTCTCAATCTCACTATATTGAGAAGATACTTGAAAAATTTGGTAAATCAGATACAAGTGTGTCTGGAACACTAGTAGACTTGAGTCCACACTTGACCAAGAACAATGGTGAGAGTGACTCTCAGCTAGAATATTCTTGGATCATTGGGAGTTTGATGTATTCTAAATAAAACTCAACCACAATATATGTACAAAACTCGACAAAGCAACCTAAAACAAATTAAATAAATGCCCTAGAGGTCCATACAATTGAGTCTCCGCTACGCCATAAGTCCACTCTAAGACCTTCTAACGCCTGGAAATGGTAAACAACTAAGTCAGGTGATAGCTCAGTGAGTAGCAACATAGATAGTAAAAACAGTTTTGAAAACAGGGTTCAATTCCAAAAAAAGATATATATCACAGAAACTAGATTGGCATACAGTTTGGTAAATACAATCTGTTTCAAAAAGAAGGTTCCACAGTTCAACACTTAAAACACTCATGTCTCGCAACAACATGATAAATGACATTTTCCACTTAAAACAGATTATAACATGAACACCAATAATTTTCTAGGTACCAATAAAAACAAATAATATGTCACACAGTTCTCAAGGCTACAAGCCCCGTTGGATCCAATACCGAACTAAGAGTCATCCTCAGGGTGGCACATGGGCCTTTTCTCAAAGACGATCCGATTGAAGGTCACCTAACTTTTTTTTAAGGTCTTTTCCTTACAATCGTTGAGCACTAGAGTCATCACGGCCCAACCCGGATCTGTTCCCTAATGGCCAGAGTCACCCCACACAGTGGAATAATTTTCATGGACTAAATACACATATGGTCCCAATAACCAATATACATCAGTTTCGCAAAACATGGTAGTTCATCATTATAAACATGAGATCAAAACAAATAGTTTACAGTATGCCAAGTTCACACATGTTTCAGAAATAATTTGATTCAATTAATAATATAATAATTTATCAAAACAGTTTAGTCATAAAAGAACAATTTAATTTTCCAACAGTTCAGGATAGGGAAACATTTATAAAAATATGTAGCATGAAACCATTCACCTGAAACCGAAATAATATAATCCTCGAATAGAGTATAAAAGTCTAACTAGTGCCCTGAACCAAGTATGAAAACTACATGTCACTACTAATTTAAAAATACTAAGAATAAGAACTAAGTAACCCCAAACTAAAGCACACTAACACGGCTCAACCCAACTCACAGTTACTCTTAAATATTACCTAAGTTTGTGTTATTCAAGGTCAAAAATCACCCAAGACATGAGTTCCGATCGAAACTTAACTAAAAATAACTTTAAGATAAAACAGAGTTTTAAACAAGTTTTCTCAATATATTCGCTAACTTTGAAAATTACAAAACCCACTCCACACTATTTGAAAATTTCCAAAAACCTCCAGATATCAACTAATATATCCTAAGTTTCAAACCCAATTGGTTTCACTTGATTTTCTTATCAAAATAATTATCTACAATTAATTATATCTAAATAGGTTGTTTTCTGCAGCACTTTAAAGAAATTGACGGTTCTCTTAGTATACATGAGCAATCAACGCAAGGTCAAAAATTCAAGAAACTAGACTCGTAACCGGTTCTAATGATGCTGATTTGATAATTTTTGAATTTATACCCAAAGAGAATAACACTCCCGAATTTACTGTTTAAAACCAATTTTCTGAACAGATTTGAACGCATCAGTTTATATGGATTTTGACTCCCAAAAATTATGAAAAAATTCAGATATGCAATTCAATATGTAATTAGTCTACTGTAAAAATTTCAGCTTAAAATTCATTCGTTTGATATGATTTCTTGATTTTTAAAGTTTGTGATTCTGTGCAAAATTTTTGGACTAAAAATTACACCATTCTTTATACATAAAGCACTATCCCAATCAGCCAAATATTTCATAGCCATGCCCAACACATGAACCTATTTTACCGATTTGATCCATCAACTACACAGCAACTCACAAGAAGAAGAAAAAGATAGTGAAAGAATAAAAATAATAAGGGATTTACCTTGCCAATGCCCACCACAAAACTCAACAATTTTCACCCAATGACCTAGACGTCTCTCTCTCTCCCTTTACTTCTCACGACTGCTCAGAAAAGTTGTGGGAAAACAATATCATAATAATTAGGGTTTGTGTTTATTTTATTTATACTAGTGATGGGCACACATAGGTCAAATAAATAGATAAATATACAAAATACATATATAAGTTATATGCAACTCAAATGGTAAAACCTTATTTATTAAGTTTGTGGTCTAGAGTTCAAGTCACGCCCTCTTCTCTATTTACTTTATTTATTTTTATTTTTTTTTAGATAATAAATATTGCCTCTAAATTAAAGACTTTCACCAAAAATTTATTTTAGGTTTAAAAGTTAATTGAAAGACCCTCTAAATATTTAATTTGCACTTTAAGATTCACCATCAAAATATTCGAGATTGTAATATTATTATTATTTAAATATTTACTTGATTTGTATTTTCGGGTTCTCACATTTATTCTTTATTACATTTATTTGTTTTCTGGCCCTATATTTGCATATGAAATATAGAGAACGTGTACATGGGTTGATCCTTGTTTCCCTTGTATGCAAAGCACCTTTGTGGACTGAATGGCTTTATAGCAAGGTTATAATTCCTATCATCGATGAACACTTGTAAAATGTTCAATTTTCTGTTATACATAATGTTAACTGAAAAAAAAAAAATACAAAAACAAAAAAAAACTAGGCTATTTTGTGCATCTCTCAATGCAAGCATTAATTACAAACAAATCCTACAAATGTCACAATCCAAGTGCATGGCGAATGGATTTCCACTCCCAGGCATTTTGGATTTGGAGAATTCTTACATTTCCACGGCCATCGGAGAAGTGGGCATAAGATAACTTTGTTTTTGCAGGTATTACTTGTTATATTTCTATGGAATGTGTGGTTTATTAAAGGAATGCCTTCTCCATCGCTACTTCAGTAAGGTAATTCATATCACCTTAATTTGTGGCTTACTTTCTGATTTGGTGAACTTAATAATAATCCTAGAATTCCTATCAGGAGCTTAGGTCTAGCATGAATGGTGCAGTATCAGATGTAATACAAGCTTGTCGAATGGTAAGCTAAAATCAGCTTTAGCGTAATATGATTTCTTATTGTTTTCTGTCTGATAGAGTATCTAATGGCTTTAGTTTCTAGGTCGTAAAAATGACTAAGTGAAATCATATTTTCAGCAGTTGCACAGAAGGGGTATTTTCTTCTTACCATTTTCCTTCTTCCATTTGTTTGAGGGAGGGATGACAGTCCATTTGATTGATGTGACCATTCAATTTGTAATATTTTTCCACTCTAAAGGTGGGTTTTTCAGTTATCTTGATCTATATTTGGTGCATGAACTAGTTGGATTTGCTTGGCGCAGCAATAAGGTTGCTCCACATGTGACTTGGGTGTCACGGGTTTCAAACAAGGAAACAACCTCTCTATGCGCAGACTAAGGCAGCGTCCATCAGACTCTTCCCCAAGCCTTGTAATGACAGGAGCCTTGTGCAGTGGGCTTCCCTCCTTATGTATTTATTTATTTTTAACCCAGCTGAATTTGTTGAAGGATGATACCTGCTTGGTTTGGTATTCATAACACATTCAAATGTTATATATATTTGCATGATCCATCTTTTATTTTACATCTAAAAACAGGCAACCGTTTAATTCTTATCTATTGCATCCTTGTCGCTTTTGAGGTGCTTACAAACTGATACAGACCTTCATCATTTTTTCCTGTGTACAGTTACTAGGCGAAAGGCAAAGTTTAAATGTCATGCGCTTTCTTCAAGCAATGAATGAGTAACTTTTTGCACCTATACTATATTTGCATTTCTTCAGTTTTCATATTGTTCTTTGCAATGTTTGTGCATAAAACAATCTGTCCTAGTTTTTTCCTTTCTTTTGGAACATATTTTGTTCTCCTACTTAGAAAGAATTGACTGTCTCGCACGACTACTGATTTTTCTTATATATTATTTAGTAACATGTTTTTATGACATAATATGCTTATAGTCTGATCAATTTGTTGAGGAACCCATCCATGGTGAGTGATTGATCAAGTCTAAAAATTATACACAAATATTCTAATATAATCTTTTTCTTAGTGGTTTGATCAAGTCTAACAACTATACACCAATATTCAGATACAATCTTTTGTTTGTAATATTTATACTATATTATATGAATTTAGCAGAAAGAGCTGATAGCGAAAGTTTTATGAGTTTTCTATTGGCTAGTAATTGCTATTTTCCTTTCTTTTTTAAAAAATCTAAAAATCCGAAGATATTGATTTGTGATTATGTATCAATTTTAACAATAAATAGCAATCACAATCAAAGACAAATCAATACAACAATTTAACGTGGAAAAACTACAATTGGAGCGCCTCCAATTGTAACAAAAAAACTATGGGCAAAAACCACAAAACAATCCACTAAAAAGACAAAAAGGAATTACACAAGTCTACCCTCAATTACTTAGCGAATCCACGCCCGAATTGAACCGACCCGTATATGCATCTTCCACCACCGTCTTCACCTCGGAATTTTCATGCCAAACTTTGAATCCACAACGTCGATGTCGAATCCACAACAATGGGCTACTGCAAAATCCACCAAAACTTCATACCTAAATTCTCCGGAATCTACCGAAGAACAACTCTCTCTTTTGTGAATAAAACAAAACAAACAAACAGATTCTTTGATATGATCCATTCAATTCATGATATAAACTCTAACAAATATCGAAGGAAACAATAAAAGAAGCTCCAGATGAAAACTCTAATACTCAAGAAGAAGATCTAGAAGCCATACCTTAAAACCTAACTAACCGCGGCTTTTATAGCAAACAGATCCGTGATCTCCACTAGAGCGCATGAATGGCCGCTCGAGCGGATTGACTAAAACATGTGTGACTAAACAGGGTCTACGCTCGAGCATAGAAATTGCCGCTCGAGCGGACAAAAACAACTCCTAGTACCTTTATAGGCAAGTGAAACTTCTGAAAGGTCACGATCTCCGCTTGAGCACAGAATTGGCCACTCGATCCATGACATAGTCAGCGAAGTGGCAAATATGAAAAAATTAACTTCAGAAACTTCTCTGCAAGGCACAATTCAAATTAGATTTGCATCTAAAAACTCATAGTCTCACTGAAATAAAAGTTGAACAAAAATACAATTGAAATGAGTTTTGTCAAATGGGATTACCAATAACAAAAACCTAACATTTTGCACACATTATATACCCCTTCTTTTGTTTTTGTTTTACCAATACACCCCTGTGAGCTTTTTTTTTTTTTTTTATCAGCAAAATAACAGTTCTATTGATGAAAAGAAGCACCATACATGCAAAAAGACATCAACAAAACCTGGAACAGAAAGAGAATTGGTGAGAGACCAATCCAAACCAAAACAGAGGTAACTACAGAAAAATACAGGACAAGCAGTGAGGTTTCATCAAACAACACACCAACTTATCTCCAATACACCTGAAAAGCACACAAACAGACAACTCTTACTCAGTAAACACCTCTAACTCCACTATATAATGCACAATAGCAACTCTGAGCCAGGCACCTCGAAAGTAAACATTTCTGGAGCAGCTCTGAACAGCCCAATGCAGCTTCATCAGAACAACATTTCTGAAGCATCTCTGAACAACCCAATGCAAACCAAAGCAAACTTCTCTGGAGCAGCTCTGAAGCAATAACAGATTTGGAGCAATACACCTCTACAACAAAACATACACAGCTCTTGAACTCCTTGCCTCAAACTCCTTGACACAGATTACCACCTCCCATGTTTCACCCAAACTCCAAACTGCAGAAATTCACTAACACTCCAAACTGCAAACTTTTTATGAGACCAATGGATCTTATGAGACCTATGCTTACCTCAGCTTCATAAATCCCTCTTATATTCCATGATTGAATCTTCATGTAGACAAATTTGCACTCTTAGTTCCCTGCCAGCAGTAGCCTAGTTGGCATCCCCAACCCGAGCTCTAGCCTTCTCCCGATCGATAGCTTCCAGCTGCTTTAATTTGCTTAAAACCTCGTCATCCTTCCCTTCAAAATCAATGCCAAGAGCTTTACCCAAAGCCAAGGTAGCTTCCGGCTCAGACAAAATGAAACTCCCTCTACTGGACTTGCTTGGAGAGTGAGATGGCAGCAGCTGAAGATCGAAAGACAGCTCCCTTACGCAGGTTCAGAGTCGCTTTCCCGAAGCTAGAAGGACCAACCCGAAGCTTCCTTCTTGTATCTTTCCTCTGAAAGCTGGAACATTTTGGGGATGAGCTGGTAACACACAGCCCCTCGGTTACTTAGGTTGGGGATGATCCAAAGCTCCTACACTTAGGATCATCGGAGCAGTATGTAAGATTGGGCCGCAAATATTTATAGAAACCAGCCCAGTAGTGAGAGGAGCTATCCTGCTTGGGCCGACAACCAAGTTATCCAAGATTGGAGCCGTATCTGATCCATTACATTCATGGGCCGAATTCAGGTCCACTATTAGATTAATCCCTTGGCCCATGTTATCAGGCCCACACAGAGTTTTAATCGATCCAGAATTTTGAATTTCAATTTTAGTCCTGCCGCCCTCATCAACGGCTCTCATCTTGGGACTCATCAGCAGTCTTGCAGAGCTCTCCTGACACATGTAGCCGTTTGCTTCTGACATGCCTTCCTGCAGATCTGATTCAGCCACCATCGAAGCGTCTCTGAGCTGGTCATCTTCCGCCATGATGTTGCTGCTATCATGTGCTTCCATTGTTACATGATCATCCCCTTCCTTAAACTTACTCCCTCTATCTGCAAACTGGGTGCCTACTTTTACAAGATTACTATTTCGGGTTCCACCGGAGGACTCTTCAGATGAATTGCTGAGACCAGGCACCTTCAAATCTTTTATGATAATGATTTGTTCCTTGCACACCCTAACTGGGTAAAGAACACCCTTGCATTCTAAACTGAGGGTTTGGTTAATGGGAGCCATAAAGTTTGTTGCAATCTGCACTTTTCCACATTGAAAATGATTTAAATTGCGAGTATCCTCATCCACAGCAGTCACAATACCCCACATCTTACCAATGTTGATGAAAGTGTTACAACTCCAAAGATTTAGTGGAACTCCATAACAACTAAGCCAAACAAGCCGTTCTTGGGTAATAGACATCCCCTGTTTCCATTCGAGGACTGAATCACACCATTCATTTAGCCAGCTCTTCATTAACAGGAGTTTGTCCTTCATAATCTCCTGAGATTGAAATGTTAACACCAAATCTCTTCCACCACCGACTCTTACTTGAACTTCCTCAAGATCTCTTCTTTCTAATTCTTTCTTGAAGTCTTCCACAATGAACAGTGGCTTTAACCTGGCTATGACACTCTCATATAACAAGCCATTTCCTTCCTCAGAGGCTTTGATAATGCAGGAGGTGTTAGGTCCTGCTGCCTTGCCACTCACCACCTCCGCAAAAGATCTCTTGCCTTGGTATCCCACGTGAGTTCTGTTAGGCTCCGCTGCAAACTTTCTAGGCTGCATTGATGGTCCAGCCTTATGTTTCGAACCATATTCCTTACCGTAATCTACCATTTTAACCTTTAGTGCTTTATCATTGCACCAGAGACCATTGGCTTTTTGAATAGCCATATCCACAGCAACAAAACAAGTATACCTGACAAAACCAAACCGGGATCTTGTCATTTTCCTCCTCTTGTTCGGAATGAAAGTATTAACCACAACACCATAGTTGGAAAATATTGAATATAGCCCTATAGCTCGCATGGTTTCGGGTAGATTGTCCACAAAAACAGAGTGGATAGACACGTTCATCCTACTATTCCAAACTCCTCTTCCACCATGTCTTCGAACCACCGGTTGCCATCCTCCACCCTGTGAGTTGATTACAAAGTTTATATGCAGAAGGCATGACCTTATAGAGGGCTTAAATAAGCTACCATGCAAAACACTCATTTTTGTGGGCGATTACAGTCCATTCCATACTGAATCAGTGTATATGAATGCTACAATGGAAAAAAGGATATGCGCTCTTGTTGAGGTAGGTCTTTCTCCTCACTTTTGATTTTCTCTCAATTAGTGCGTTACATTTTTTTGTGTGAATTTCACCTCGCTCGTGCTCATCACAGAAGCAACTAAACTTACCTAACAAGCTCATGTTTTTTTTCTCCTCATTAAGAATCCAAATACCACATGAAATATATATTGTCAACTATCTAAATGGTACAGGATTCTAAGACCAAATGTTCAAATTCTTGGACAAGAAACATTCCCCATCAGATATGTTTGGACTAATGTTCAAAATCTGCCTACAAAGTTGAAACTCCAAGTGAATGGAATTCAAGAAACGGTTGGCAACTTCAGTACAACATTACTAGTTACCTATTTTGCCTTGGATCTTAGGAATAAGTTTGTAGCTTTCAACTTGTTAGTTTCATATTATGAATAATGATAATACATTGTGGGATGATTTTATTCATTTATTTATTTATTATTTTTTGTCTATAACAGGTTCAATCGTGTGGCTCGGTAGTGACAAAAGAACACCCATACGCAATGTTGATTCCCATTGAATTCTTTTTAATGGGGTTTGGCTTATACAGGCAACAACTACCTTTATCTGCAGCATCAAGTAATAGATCAAAGCCGCCAACCTCCTAGTCTGGCATATTCATGTCACTGTTACAAAATCATATATAGATCACATTTTTTATGTATGATGTACGTTATTTAATCATATGTTTTAAGTTTTGTCAAAGTGTGATCTTTGGGATTTTTAATCACACATTTTGACTGTCATTAAAAGATAATTCTATCACACGTTATGTGTGTGATAATAAATATTTAGATCACACTTTTTACATGTGATGATAAACATTTAGATCACACTTTTTATGTATGATAATAAACATTTACATCACACTTTTTATGTGTGATGTATAACTAATAAAAAATGTGATAATACACATTTAGATCACATATTTTAAGCGTGATTAATATCTAATAAAATATGTGATTAATAATGAGATAAGATCACACGTTATGTGCATTTCTCATCATAATTAATGCGTGTGATAAAAAAAGGGTTTGACATATTTGAAGAACAATTAATATTATTTTTGTATGCATTTGAAGAATGTAATACACACTATATACTACTATTTGAATCACAATTACATATTGAATGGAATAATGTCATATATTTCATAAATGAAAGTTGAATGTTCAAAAGTATATACAAAGGAATTAATAAAACAAAACAAAATTAACTGTGATTACATATATTAAAAAAATGAAAAAACTTGAAGTTAAAAGCCCTTGAATTCTTTGACTATATTTTGCATCTCTCCAAGTAATTTATGACTTGAAAAATGATAACACAAATTAATTCAAAGGCAAAAGTTGCCTCTTCTTTAGAAATAATTTTAGGCTAAAGGCAAAATAAAGGCAAGAAATTCACAAAGATGTGTGTTGGATGAAAATAATTGAGATAATGTGATTATTATGTTTTATGCACTTTGACTACAAAATAATTTATGGGTAATGGCACATGTGAAAGAAGAATAAAAATTGGATAGTCAGTGTATTTTTTTGCTACTTTTTTTTTAATCAATAAAAGAGAATTTATTGATGAGAAAAAGATATACAAGATAAAATTTTGGATTTAAATTGTATCATTATCAAAGCCACACATCCCAACTATGTTCGCACCCATGGCAAGATCAATCATGTGCATAATCCAAAACAACAGCAGAAAATTGGTGAGGTTCCAATTCAATAACAGACGCCTCAAGCCAAACAACCTATAAACTAGCACACAAAAAACAGAGGCTACCCAAGCCTCAAGCCAAACAAGCTATAAAATTCATTAATTTAAGTGTATAAACCAAAAATCTTAAAAATTACCTACTTGAGAAAAGATAATGACCACCCATCTACAATATAGTCATAGAGCTTGATCTTTCATTGAGTGCTTTCAACCTCAAGGTGCACCTACTTCAAACTGAAAAATTAATAAATTGATTTCTCTATCCCCATTTACACATAAAATAAACTAATTTCTTGATGAATATTAAATAGCAATTCATTAACACAAACTACTAATATGTTTTTAGTTCGTTTAACCTAATAGGACATGCAAACCTTAACCCAACTAGTGACATCTACAAATATGAAAATTCACATGTATACAATCTCAGAGAGGGAGAGAACAATCTATGAGGAAGCCATAGATTTTCAATTAATCTCTCTAACTTTACTCTAATTTTCAATGTAACTCTCAAATTTTCTAAGAAAACCAATAAATATTGCCTCAAAGCTGAGGGCAACCCAAGACTCCATAAGGCAGCCATCTTTCTTCCGGCTTGTGAGCAAATGCAAAGAAAACTAATGACTAGCAATTGGTAGAGAAGACCAAAAGATCCAGGATTAATCCAAGGAGTATAAAAAGGTCTGAAATTCAAACACTATCAAAGTAAAAGATGTTAGCTGCTAAATGAAGCAAGATAGTTGATGCACTAAAAGAAATGTTTTTCTTATAAGGTCTAAACCATGCCTCAAGCCACTTTAAAGGCTTGAGAAACCTCAGCCAACCGATTGCACTTCATGAAATTGGACATATAGCTCCTCATTTTACTAAGAACCATCATATTACTATAGCACTCAGCCCCAACAACAATTCTGAACACCATACAGGTACAACCAAGTCATATTTCTAAATCCACAATGATCCAGATGCCAAGACTCATCAGTTAAAACGTAACAATTTGATTTCCAATTAAGTTTGAACCTTTGGAAAAAGAAAAAAACAAAGACCAAAAATTAATAATAATAATAAATGAATATATCTCAATCTCAAATCCCAAATTCATATATGGAGCCAAAAAAAGTTCAAAAAAAAAAGATTCTTTTTTATGCATTCCAAGTGTCTACTGAGTGATCATACAAACAAAACATTAGAGCCTAAATCAATGAACATAATGTTAATCAATGAGCATAAGTCATAGAGAAACACAAAGAGGTATATATATAAAGAGAGAAACACATGTTAATGTTAATCTTAGAAATGGAGACAAAATTTATAATCGTGAAAATTTATGAGGCTAAGGCTGAGACTGAGAGAGACTTTATTTGGTTCCATACCATCTAAGTATTAAGCACCAGGTCCATTACTCTCATCCTGGCTCTTATTAGTTCCTCAGATGTTCAAAATCCAACCAAGCCACCTTATTTTTTTTTTTTGATCAGCAAAGAAAAATTTCATTTAACAGCATGAAATTAAAGGTATACCAAGCCACCTTAGTATATAGCAATAGAAGGGTGAGATGAAATGTGGGATAAAATGTACAAACCTTGAACTCTTTTTTCTATTCTTTGGTTCATGGAAGGCTTCCACCATGAGTTTTGGCCCCATTCATCTGTCACCTTCAAAAGAATGACAACAGATGTAAGTTGTTTAAGTAAACTAAATAAAAATAAATAAAATTCATCAAAGATGAAAGTTTCAATAAAAATTAATATTCTTATGTTTATGGATACAAATGTGAGCTGCCTCATAATTTTTTAAATTTCTTAGCTCATTAACCAGTATAAATGCCATTAGAGAACCAAAACAAAAACAAAACAAAAACAAAAAATTACTAAACAGATGAACAAAGTCCAGCAAAAAAATTCTAACCAGTAGAATGAAACACTCTGTCATTACAATCTGTTCAGCAGCCATGGCAGCCAACCTATTCCAATTCTTAGAGTGTATTTTCTGGTCCATGGATGGTTTTAAACAACAAAGTGGGACAAAGATTAGCTGTAAGGCCCATTACTTATAAAAATTAAAGAGCTACATTTTGAATATTGCTTCTAATGAGATGAGAATATTGTACACACCCCATTTTTTACCGACCTTAAGACTTGGGCACTACTGATGGCTTCCTTGGTGATGAAAGTTATGCAGGCTATGCTATGCAAAGGGTCAGTTTCTTTGGCAAGGAGAGCGTCAAATCCAAACCTCACACCCCATTTTGTACCAAAGCTATTTTGAATGGTTTTTAGACCTTAAAACCCTCTCTTTCAAAACATTTTTGAAATAAAATTTTTATGATGTTCCGAGGCTCGCATTTTGTCAAATGTTGCGCTTTTCGATAAACCAAGCAAGGACAAAGGGGAAATGAATGAAAAAGAGATGAAATCTTGGAAAATTCTTTCAAAACACCTTACTTCGAGGGTTTGGAGTTGAAGCAAAGAAGAGAAGAGGGAAAAACCCAAGTTGAAGAAGAAGGTGGGTATAAAACGCTAAGAGAAAATTGAGCGGTCCTCGCTAAATCAGGCTTATCTGTCTATGCACTTGGGTTTAAGCTATGAGGCCACCACCGTTGAAAAGAAGACTTCCGGGGCTTCATTTTACACTCAAGAATATCCTAAAGCCAAGTCCAGATGGGAGAGATATGATTGGTTGAAGTAGGGCATCAATCCGGTCGGATCGAAACTGCGCGGCTTCACCAAAATAGGCATAACTTTTTGCACAGATGGAATTTTAATGCAAGGTTGGCGCCATTGGAAAGCTAACTTCTGGGGCTTCATTTTGGATACCCACCGACCACTTTTGGCCTTGGTAACCACCTACCGGCCACCAAAGTAACCGGCCAGCCATCAAAAGTAACCGGTCGACCAGTTTTCTGGTCGGCAACTTTTCACCTGCTCCCTCACAGCTGTATCTTCCAGCTAGCATAGCTGGCAAGCATTTTGGCTATCCTCCATACACGTGTATGGAGGGATTTCCTTAGCCCTTAGCTTCTTGGAGAAGCTTATGCTTTTAATCTCTATAAGAGGGAGGCTCCTCCTCCCTCATCTGGTTCAGAAAAAATTGTTGAGGCTCATACATACACTCCCCCTTTGTATCTCTATATTTGGCCTTCAAAACTCCATTGTTCTTGCACCATTGCACTACACCTCTTAGCCTAACCTCTCCATCATCCATCTAAGCACCTTGGAGCTCATTTTCAGAGGTTGAAGGTTTGCTACTTTGGTCCAGAAGCTGCTGGAGGTCTTCTCTACAAGGGTAACACTCATTTCCCTCTTTTGAGCATTATTTTGCTTCATATCTTAGCTCTATTTGCAAGCATTTTTGGGCTTTGTCATAAACTACAAAAAGTCTTATTTTGAGCTCCTCTTGAATTTTGTTTAAGGTCATTTTTCTGTTGGGGGTCATCTACCCCCTTGCATGCTTGTTTTCACCTTGTTTTGAGCCATGCATCTAGGCCTTTGAAGTGAGCTTTGTTTGGCCTTCTAGCCACTGAAATCCAGTGGATTTTCAGAGGCTAGCATACTATTTTGAGCCCCAAAATCAGAGAGGGGTGACCCTCTCACCCCTTATCTTGTTTACTAGCTTTCTTGGCCTTACAAAGGAGCCCCTATTTGCATGTTTTCAAGCCATGTTTCCGGCTATTATTTGTGAGTTTTATGACCTGCATGACCTCTGTCCAGAGGTGATTTTTCCATATTAAGTGTCCATCTTGCATGTGTAGACTAACCCTCTTCATGGCCTTTCAAAGGAGCCTTCACTTGCATGCTTCCTAGCCCCCTTTCATGCCCTTTTTGATGAGTTTTAGGGCCCTCATAACCTTTGTCTAGAGGTGGTTTTTCCATTTTTGATGTCTAACTTGCAT